ACGTACCTTTTTTCTGATGTGCTTAGTATATTTAAAATAGCTGTAATAAATCCGTTTACCCTGAAAACCGGCAGTTACTGAAGTTGACTGTTTAGTAAGTTGTAACTGCCCAGTCATGTGCTGATACTGAGTCAATTACTTCCGCGATTCACGGCGCTGGTTACGCCAATATAACGCAACTCTTATTTGTAACCACTAACATCACGATAATCGCGTTCTGTATGTCGATCAATCCCCTGCGTGTCGACATACAGTGGACGACTTGTCGCACAATGCTTCACTGTCCGACATCACTTTGGGTGAGTGCGAGCACCAAGTGGTCACAATACCATGTGGTGCGAGTCATTAACGAGCATGGAGAAGGTCCCGCAATTGTTAAACTTCCGCCAGGAGGTCCCTCGCCAGGTTGCTCGGTTTATTGGTCGACCATGGAGGATTAGTATCCATGGTACATGCCCCCCACGTTCCAGTAAATGGTCACTAGCCTTTGGTTGACAGAATTACGAAGGACTTCGGAGCGTTGTTGGAGGAAACGAGGAGACGTGGAGGAAACGTGGAGACGTGGGTTAGTTTCCGTTCACGGGTTCGTTTTTTAGGGAAGCGAGGGGACGCTAATTGGTAGCCGTTAGATTAAAAAGAATCCTACAGCGCCTGACGACTTAAACGTTGCCTTCTCTCAACACGATTCAGAAGGGGGTTGTACACTTTGCAGAAAACGCTGGACAGTGTTTACCTTAGCGAGATTGTTTCCCCCCTCCATCCTCACTGCTAACTGCACGCTGCTACGAGACCTTTGCCAGGTAACACCCTAAATCTCCTTCATCTTAGTGTGTTTAGTGTGACCATGGAAGGAAGGGGTAGAAACACCGGTGGTAGCTCACGCCGGGCGGCTCATCCGAGCGACATGCCCCTGAAGTACTACTATAACCTTTTGTTGAGGAGGCTTTAATATATTGGAAATGGGTGTGGTGAAGGTCCCGGGGGACGTAAATATCTCCGATTAGCGGAGATGAGTAGCCTGGGCGGCGCGTGAGGTGACAAGAACTTAGAAGTCAATTAGGAGTAAGGCTGTAATAACTCACTGGATTGAGAATAGTTTTGTGTTTGAGAAACCCTAGGGTACCAAACCCTGTATAAAGTTGAGCTGCCCGGAGAGGAAAGGGTATCTGCTGTGTAGGGAGAATGTTCTGCGGATGAATTTTTTGTATTGTGACGCTGCGTGTTCTAACGTTTTTTCCCCTTAGAGAAATTAAGAGAGAGAAATTACTCTTCTTCTGGATCACTTTGAACCAAAAGATTCAGGTGACCTCTTTTTCTAACTTGAGCGTCGGAGTGCCTTTGCCGGTACCCAGCCCACCTTTTCCCAAGGAACAGAACGTAAAGAGAGGAAGGAAGCATCGTGACAGACAACGTAAAGAGAAGCAGTTCAGTTTTGTTAGGTTTGTATCTCGGCCTCCACATTCCTACTGAAACAGAAATTATAAATGATTTTAATTAATAAAAGTTAAAAATTAAAAAAAAAAGTAAAGTTGTGTTGGGGGTGCACGACTTCTCTTATTGAAGTCGTGAACCCCCCCTACGATTTCAATTTTTTTTATATTTTTTTATTAAAAACGGTATGGTAATCGATTATACATGTGGTAATCGATTATCATACTCTAAAGCCGTTTTTGGGGTGCACGACTTCAACACTGTAGCTATGCACAGTGTGAAGTCGTGCAGGGGGGGCACGACTTCTTCCTTTGAAGTCGTTTTGGCCCCCACGACTTCACTTTTTGCCTATTTTGGTAATAAAGAGGGCATATTTGCCTACTTTGGTGCAAAAACCGTGTTATTGTCATATATAGGAGGAGTGCCCTGTTTGTTCCAACACTACTATTATGATAAAGAAAAGCAGCACTAGTTTTTTCCATAAAGCAAATACTACCAAGTTTTAAACTTACGAGGAGAAGCTTACTCTTCCATAAAACGTTTATTACACTTTTTTTTGCTATTATTATTACTGTTACGAGTTTTGCAATTAAAAATGTGTAAATGTGCACAAATTATAACGAATGGAAAAACAATTAATTTGTTAAACATTTATGCATACTTGATAATTAGGACGAGGAACCAATCTGAAATTGTTAATAGATTCTAGCAAATTATGCAAACCCTTGAAGAGAATCTCCTGAAACCGTGTAGAAGCTTCCTTGCAATAAATTGAAGGACCCATCGGAGTTTCACAACTACCGACATCTTAATTTCTTGGATGAAATGACATTGTAATTGTTTTCGTACCACTCTAAGACAAGAACACACTTTAACAACAAAGAAAATTCTCATTTTCATCATTAAAATGACAATAACATTAAATGAAGAGTATGCTTATAATATTTGCACTGACCCTTGCCTCTTCAATACCACAAATTGATGTTATTATTACATTTCTGTCTCTCTTTTTTCATTGTTCTAACCCCAAAGAGAAATATTACAAAACGAAAAATTCATACAATTTTACAATTTTTTTCTGTCTAGGGGGGCCCTTGAACTTTCGATCCGTGTTGCATTGATGTTGTTGTCAAGGAATAGCCCCATCTCATGTCATCACCATTTAAAAATTAACTTTCTAAGAGATACAACATATATAAGAGATAAAGTTTACTTCTTCAACTGTAAAATTATGCAGTATTCGCAGTGATAAATGACTTACTTCCATATAAGTAAAATATAATTATGCACCTGTTACACCAAATCCGAACTTAATTACTTCAAAATTTCCTTTACCACATCAAACACATCACAATTATTCGTTTTGGTGTAACATAATGTTGGATACCAGTAAAGACGTAATATTATTTTATTTATGAGCCATTCCATGATTTAACACACCAAACATTGCAAAAGTTTATTATAGAAGACTAATTATTTAGTTCTGAAAGTGTTACCCCCAACACTCAGGTGTTAGTCTGTGGTCTCTTTAGGGATCTTGGCAGTAGTTATAGACCATGTGATATTTTTGCACCCATCTCATGGTCCAATATTGGCGTCTGGTCAAGCCACCAGAACGATATGGTGAGGCTGAAGCTAAACGGCACCAACGAGAGGCATAAGCTGAGCAACCACCAACCTTGAAGTTAGTGTACTTTGCAACAAAAGGTTGGTATCTGTAATCAGCCTTGTATTTTCCATCTTCTGTTGCCCATGATGAGGCATCCCATATTGAACCATAAAGCCACATTGGTCGTAGTGGAAATGTTTCTGGACTCTTTCTTGGGTACCTCCTTATGGGAATATCATCCACAAGGAATCTGATATGTAACTTCATAATGTCAGTAAACGGAGTTGATTAATATATATACACAAACATATGTATAAAGTGGCAGTGGTTGTATAATATCTTACACAATTTTGCATAATGTTATATCTTTCTGATTATTGTATGGAAATTGTATTTGAGTATAATTTCTCATTAGTCTTCATATTACTGTGTTAATTCATGAAAAGTAAACTTTAAAGTTATGCGGAAAGTGTGAAAGTAATCTTATAATAACTTCAGAGGCCATAAAGTGTATCAGAGTGTGGATAGATTTTTACTTTACCCCACATTTCTAATTCAATGTTCATAGTATTGATTCCTATTTTCTTCTCTCTATCTGCTTCAGTGGAAAATGAAATGTTTCCTTCCCTATCTTCTCTAACTAGGAAGCAAATATAGGTATGCATTGTAAAATGTAAAGTGACTTACATTATTTCCTTAGGACTCCAAAGTATAGCGTAGTGATGAAAATTTTGTGTAGGATCAAACCAAAGGTGGAACTTCATTTCTCTGCCAATGATGGTGCCATCACCACTTCCTCTTATATAAACATTGGTCTGTAAAGTGTAAGGCTTTCCGAATGTCGTCCCAAGAAACTCAATGTCCACTTCATCATGGAAGCCAGGATGTGCCTCATTGTTAGAAAGCTGTCATTTATCAAATCATTTGTGAACTTGAACTAAAAATGAATGTGAAAGCTACAAACTTCCATCAATCAACTTATACTTTTGTAAAAAAAATCCTTTGGTCATAACTTACATAGAACGATGTAATAACTCCTGCTGTATATCCAGGATGGAGCTTAATGGAAGCACCAAAATACCCAGATCGAAATGGACGAACTGACTTGAAGCCACTTCCTGCTAACCAGAGATGTCTCACGTTTGAATCACATAAATATTTGTTTGATGATTATGAATTGAAAGTGAGTTTAAGCTAAAGACTCAGACCTGAGGTTCTATCAAGCCATATTGTTAATGCATTTTGGTCAATGCTTTGGTGCTGAGGACCCCAAAGATTTCTGAACCCTTTGTAGAAGTTCACAGGCCTGAATTTGGAACTTGGCCTGTAACTAGGTGAAGGTGGCCAGTAAGCATTGCTTGGGGAGGCCACAAAGAATAAAATAGCAAAGAGAGGTATCAGAGCCATGAAGGAAAAGGTGAGTAAGTGAGGTAAAATGTAAGCAGGAAGCAGAATGATGCTGCTATTATAAATGCAGTGTGAGAGGGTGAAAATGAGAGGGACTGTTCAAAGAAAGTGCATCTGAAATGAGAGTATGGCAGTATGTTAGGAAGTAAAGGTACACGTGAACGTGAGAAGGAATAAAGGGGGAGGAAATTAAGGGGTGGGAGGGGGAATTAAAGGCGAATGAGGTTAGTTTGTTAGTAGAGAGAGAGTATAAATAAGAAACAGAATAAAGGGAGATGGGATATTAGATATTTTGTTTCGGTTTAGACTGAACCTCTTGGCCAGTGGAAGAAGGGAAGCATTTACGTGTATTTTCTTCTTTCTTTACACTAAAGATTGAACAAAATACTTATACATACAATTTATTTTCTGTTGTTGAGTGTGTGAGTGAGAAGAGAGGTTTCTGTTTTGGTTCCCTGAATAAAGGAACCTAATAGCTTTTGTCCAACATGTCGGATCAGTTTCGGAGGGAAGAAGAGCGAGGAGGAGCGGTAGCGAAGAAGAATGGAGGGACGAATGGCGGCAATGGAGTCGACAATGGAGGAATTGAAGGCGGAGGTGTGAGCGATGACTCTCGAGTTCCAACGAGCTTCCGAACAACACTCCAGGAACCATGATCGGAGCTCCGAAGGAAGTCGTGATTCCGTCAATGTAGAGTGGGAACGACGACCGTCGAAAAACTCAGAGGATGAATCGGAAGAAGACAGAGGAGAAGTTCAACGCAGTGGGATGAAGCGCGTTAAACTACATACATTTAAAGGTGCG